GGCGGGGGTTGTAGTCCAGCATGGAGATGTGGGAGTACTGGTTGTGGAAGGGGATGTCGGTGTACTCGTAGCTCGAGCTGCCCGTGTCGTACGCGAAGTACACCTTGGCCCCGGCCAGGTGCGAGTTGGTGACGTACAGGGTGCCGCAGATCAGGAAGGACTCGCCGGCGCTGCGCTTGGGGTACCTGCCGGGGGGGGGAATCGTTAATTAATCGTTAATTAATGGTAATTAACGCACCCGGTGTCCCCCGCTGCGCGGCGCCTCCGGGATGGGCGGGTCCAGCCTGCTGAGCACGATGTTCCCCGCGTTCTGCTAGGGGTGGAATCAAATCCTACCCTGTAAATTAATCGTTAATTAATCATTAATTAACTATCAATTAACAGTAATTAACGCACCCGGTGTCCCAGGAGCGCAGCACCTCCAGGCTGGGCGGGTCCAGCCTGCTGAGCACGATGTTGCCCCTCCGTTCTGCTAGGGGTGGAATCAAACCCTACCCTGTAAATTAATTGTAAATTAATCATTAATGAATCGTTAATTAATGCTCATTAACACACCCGGTGTCCCAGGAGCGCAGCACCTCCAGGCTGGGCGGGTCCAGCCTGCTGAGGACAATGTTGCCCCTCCGTTCTGCTAGGGGTGGAATCAAACCCTACCCTGTAAATTAATCGTTAAATAATCATTAATTAACTATCAATTAACAGTAATTAACGCACCCGGTGTCCCAGGAGCGCAGCACCTCCAGGCTGTGCGGGTCCAGCCTGCTGAGCACGATGTTGCCCGCGTTCTGCTGGGTGGTGTAGACGGCCCAGAGGCCCGTAAATTAAAGATAATTAATTATGAATTAATTGGTAATTAACGCACCCGGTGTCCCAGGAGCGCAGCACCTCCAGGCTGTGCGGGTCCAGCCTGCTGAGGACGATGTTCCCCGCGTTCTGCTGGGTGGTGTAGACGGCCCAGAGGCCCGTAAATTAACCATTAATGAATCATTAATTGACAGTAATTAACATTAATGAACGCACCCGGTGTCCCAGGAGCGCAGCACCTCCAGGCTGGGCGGGTCCAGCCTGCTGAGCACGATGTTCCCCGGCGTTCTGCTGGGTGGTGTAGACGGCCCAGAGGGGGAACCAGAGCCCGTAAATTACAGATAATTAATCACTAATTAACTCACCCGGTGTCCCAGGAGCGCAGCACCTCCAGGCTGTGCGGGTCCAGCCTGCTGAGGACGATGTTGCCCGCGTTCTGCTGGGTGGTGTAGACGGCCCAGAGGCCGCTCTCATCGGCCATGAAGTCGATGTCGGAGAACCCTCCCCACGAGTAGGGGAAGGTGTTGTTGTAGCCGGCGCCGGGGAGGCTCCGCTGGGCCAGGACGCTGCGGGAGCCGAAGTGGTACTTGACGGCCACGTTGCTCTGGTACTTGTTGTAGAAGAGGGAGCCGTTGAACACCACGTGCCCCGTGCCCGCCCAGGGGTGAGGCAGGAGGTGTTGGATGAAGTTCTGGCCGGCGGCGAAGTCGTCGAGGGAGCGGAACTCCAGCACGCGGCGGCCACGGAGGTAACCATCCATGTACCACACCTGGGGGGGGGGGAAAAATGTGGGAAAAATGGGGGA